AGAGATGCAATGAGATTTCACTGGTTGGAAGATAAAGATCCTCAACGTATTTGCACTCTGAGATTCACTCGAGCACTGTTCGGCATGGGACCATCACCATTCCTGTTGGCAGGAGTATTACAATGTCATTTGAATGCGAGTAAGCGAGTAAAGAGAAGTACCCTAAGCATGCTGAAGAAATCGAGAAAGAGTTGTATGTCGATGATCTGGTAACCGGAGGAACTTCGTTACAAGAAGTGCGTGAGAAGGAAGCCTCAGTCGAAATATTTAAAGAAGCATCATTCCATTTACACAAGTGGCAATCAAATGTCAAAGAGTTAGAACAGAACGAACAATCGGACAGTAGTGATGATACAAGTTTTGCAAAGCAACAATTGGGCAACGAATCGAAAGCAGGCAACCATGTGACGCCTATCCTTCAGCAATTAGCTTGGCTTCCAGTTGAGTGTGTGTTAAAACTCAGGGATGCGGTTACGACATATAAGTGCTTGAAAGGGTTAGCTCCGTCGTACTTGTGTGACAAATTCCAAATGAGATCAAAGATTCACAGTGTTAACACCAGAAATAAGGATAAGTTGGACATTCCACTGTATAATTCGGCTTCTGGACAGCGAACGTTTCATTATCGCGCAGTGTCTATTTGGAATGAGCTCCCAAATCATATTAAAGACATTGACACTTTGAACCGGTTTAAAATAGAATATAAACGTCATTTATTGCATGGATTTTTAGAAAGTAGTTAATAGTTTTAGACAATTTGGACTTGTTTAAATTAGCATATAAACGTTTTTACTGTATGGATTTTATTAGGAAGTAGTTAATCATTTTTAAAGTGACATTACTAATAATTATAAAATTTTTAATTTGTGTTTGTATGTATGTACGTATGTTTGTGAGTGTATATATATATGGTTTGTAGTATATAAATGATTTGTAATTACCTGCTGAAAAGCCCTTTTGGGAGCAGGCAATATTGTGATAATAATAATAATAATAATAACCTCCTTGGTTTGAAATGGGATAAAGAAGCAGACACAATTGAGGTGACTATTCCTTCTGACGAAGTAGCTCCCACCAAAAGAGGTATACTTGGTAAAGTAGCCCGAATCTATGATCCACTTGGCCTCATAGCTCCCACAGTCCTACAAGGTAAGCTTCTGTACAGAGAAGCTTGTGAACAAAAGTGTAAGTGGGACTCAGAATTGCCTGACGAATTGACTAAGCGTTGGCGAAAGTGGGAAAACCACCTCCCTCATCAAGTCAAGGCTCCAAGATCTATACAACTTGCTCAAGAACCCATTCAGGACATAACACTTCACGCCTTTGGTGATGCGAGTGGTCATGGGGTCGGTGCAGCGGTGTATGCTGTGGTCACTCAAGAATCTCAAGTAAATCAAGGTCTCGTTTGTGCGAAAGCAAGACTCGCGAAGCAAGGGCTTACAATCCCCAGGAAAGAATTGATCTCGGTGCATATGGCGGTGAATTTACTTGACAACGTACACAGCGCCTTGGAAGGGTTTCCAGTAACATCCCTTGTTGGTTGGTTAGATAGCAGTGTCGCACTACATTGGATCCGTGGCGAAGGAGAGTACAAAACTTTCGTAGCTAACCGTGCCAACAAAATTCGTGAGCATGAAGGAGTGACATGGAGACATGTACCTAGCAAAGAAAATCCCGCTGATGTCGCGAGCCGTGGTGGGTTAATTAAAGAGGGAGATCAGTGGTGGTGGAAGGGTCCTGACTGGCTAAGTAAACCTGACGAATGGCCACCAGATCAAAGGACGACTCGCACTACAGAGAGCGATGTTGAAGTGAAGCTAACGAAGCAATTGTTTGCCTTGGCCAAGGAAGAAGAGGACGAGTTAGGGAACTTGCTCTCTAAGTTTGCTTATTGGAAGACCTTGAGGATTACGGCCTGGTTATTACGGTTCCTTGGAAACATTCGGTGTGCGAAAGAAAGAAGAATCGAAGGTCCACTTACAACCGGTGATTTAGAGAAAGCTGAAATTCGTTTGATCACGAAAGCTCAACAATAAGTTGACGAAACCTTTACGAGAGATCAATTGCAACTTAGTTTACAATTAAATGAGGACGGTGTTTTAGAGTGCAGAGGAAGAGTTCAGGGGTTTTACCCGGTCTACATTCCTAATTCATCATTGCTGGCAAGAAAATTCGTCGAACATGCACACAAGTCCACACTTCATGGGGGAGTCGGGTTGACAATGGTGTACGTTCGAGAAAGACATTGGATCCATCGTTTGCGACGATTAGTGAAGCGGGTTATTAAAGATTGCCATGGATGCAAGAGATTCCACGCCATTGCTTACGCAACGCCCCCTCCAGCGAACTTACCAACCACCAGAACCGAAGGATCCACTGCATACCAAGTTATCGGAATTGATTACGGGTCCACTACGTTATCGAAAATCGAAAGGAAAAGAAGGCAAGGCGTACATCTTGTTATACGCTTGTAGTCTTACTCGTGGAGTATACCTCAAACTTCTGCCTAACATGGAGACGTCCGAGTGTCTAAACAGCCTCCAAAGATTTATCGCAAGACGTGGTCGTCCTGAGCGTATTTATTCGGACAACGGGGCGACGTTTGTAGCGGCGGCGAAGTGGGTAAAAATGCTGAAGCAAGACGAAGGGTTGCAGGATTACCTAGCCTGAAATAGCATATCATGGCAGTTCAACTTGAGCCGTGCCCCATGGTGGGGCGGACAATTTGAAAGATTAGTTGGTTTAGTGAAGGCAGCGCCCTACAAGGTGATCGGTCATGGTCAATTAAGTTGGAAAGAGCTCGAAGCCGTCTTGCTAAGTGTGGAAACTACACTGAACGATCGACCCCTGGGATATGTCGAAGAAGAAGATATTAAGTCAACCGTGATAACTCCTAATTCTTTGTTGTTTTTGCGAGCAAACCAACTCTTGGAACCTTCCCATCATCTAATCGAAAATAAGAACTTGCGAAAGAGATATAAATATCTTCAGAAATGTAAGGACGCTGTTTGGAGACGATGGTCAACGGAATATCTTCGAAGCCTTCGAGAAAGATACATCGCGAAGTTGTTATTATTCAGTCCGAACAAAAGAATCGAGGCGCATGGGTACTTGGAATCATAATCGAGTTGATCCAGGGGAGAGACGGTGTTATTCGAGGTGCGAAAGTGCGCACTGGAAAGTCGATCATGGAACGTGCGGTACAGTTTTTATATCCTGTCGAACTGTCTTGTGATTCGGTGGTAGAACAAACCAAATTAGTAGAACTGAATCCTGAAGCTCCAGAGTTTCGTGCGAAGCCCAAGAGAGATGCAGCCGCGGCAGCTGAGTTACGGATTAAGGAACTTGTGCAAGAGGACAATGTTGACATTTAAACATTAACCACTAACTATTTGATACTATTTAATGTTGAAATTGTTTAGTTATATATTTGGATGTGTTTGACAACTCCGTAGTCAAACAGGGGAGTGTGTCGAGAATTACGTAATATTAGTCTAATTATGGACGCGTGGGAATCGCGCGAGACGCGTGGGGTTTTTCCTGGAAGAAAGCATGCTTTTCCTGGGATTGCGAATATTAACAAGAAACACAGTGAGAATTAAAGAAGTTTTAAACCTTTTATCGAGTGATTCTAACTATTTACAACGACGTTGTAACATCAGGGCTAATTCACGCCTGCCCCTAGTTCTATTTTTCGACATAAAATTATATAAATGTCTTTCAGATCTTAGCCGTACCGACTTTTTTCGTCCCATACAGGTTTCGGGACCGACTTTTTAGATATATTTCACAAAACATGGGGGTGTCACCCCCCCCCCCCACACACACACACACACACACACCCCTAATGTGCGTCCCTGCTTACGTTGTAACATAAGGCTTTCACGCCTTCCCCCATTTGTAACAAAAGGTGTTCCACCCTTACATCCGTGTAAGATAAGGTTTTCACGCCTGCCTCTATTTGTAACATAAGGTTTTCACGCCTGCCTCTATATGTAAGATAAGGTGTTCACCCCTATAGCAGTAAGAGATAAGGTTTCACGACTGCTCCTATTTGTAACATGGTTTCACGACTGCTCCTATTTGTAACATGAGGTATTCACCCCTATCTCAGTAAAAGATGAGGTTTTCACACCTGCCCCTATTTGTAACATTAGGTGTTTATGCCTGCTCCTATATGTAACATAAGGTGTTCACCCCTATATCTGTGTATTCTTTCCGCCCAGAATTTTTCACACATTGAGTTTCATCCATGAAAGCTTTTATTGGTCAATTTTAACAACCTTTATCGACGAAAGCCGTGTTTTACTGTAGGTGAATCTTTCCCTCAGGGACGCCAGCGAGGGGGGGGGGGGCTTTCCTAAGGGGGGGGGGGAGAACCGGCTCCTCAGGCTAAGTTGAA